TGAGCTTCACAAGAAAACGGTGAATCACTTGGTCCAAAACTACGATGTCGTGATCATACCTGAATTCAATGTAAAGAACATGGAGAAACGAGATCGGCGGAAGAAGAGTTTATAAATGCGGGAAACTGTCATGGAATTGATGATCTAACGATTATTAATGATGTGTTACAATCCATCCGACATAAAAATTAACAGTTGTCTCACCTAACCATAGTTATATCATGTGCACTCAATAAAAAGAGCATATTCATATCGTTATCAAGATCCGTAAGAATTTGCAAGCTATGGCAAAAGTACTTAAAGCTTTTACTTCTTCTGTAATAAACCTCTATTCCCTTTCAACATTTCCGCGCTTACAATCCTAGTCTTTGCAAGGAAAACTCCAAAAGCTTCGATCGGCGATCGAATTTCCCGATCAACAAAAAATCAAATGTCTTGTTCGCTGCTGTCTAATTTCGCCTTTAAGTCTCATCACTCATTCCAATTCACAAGGCAATATTCCTCATTTTTCGCCAGACATAGTGACATTCCAACATCGACTATATTAAAAACAGGAAAAACGGTGTCTCGTCTCGGTTTTGGCGGGTATAGGATAAATCGCCATAATCCACACCATAAAGAGGCCTTGATATCTGCCATTAAACAAGGAATTAATGTTATTGATACAGCCACAAACTTTGAGGGAGGTGAATCAGAAAAGTTGATTGGTCAAGCCGTTAAAGAAGCCGAGAGTTTGGGTATTTGTCGATGGAGTGTAAGTGTTGTTTTACTTGCTGGATTGGCGTTTACATTACATTGAAGCGTCTTCAATATTACTGATGACAATCCATGTAAAGGATCTTGTTGTTATTACAAAAGCTGGGTACATTCATCCTGTTCATAGTGCACAATGGAGGTCACCGAATTCAAAAGCTGTTCATCATAATCATTGCATTCATCCTGATTTTATCGAAAATGAAATTACCGAATCTCTCAGAAGGCTCCAAACGGACAAGATAGATATATTTATGCTTAATAACCCGGAAAGGATGCTATTAGATCCGAATAAAGTAAGACATTCGAAAGGAAAACGAAATGTTTACGCGTCATGCTGCAGAAATATTCTAATAGATGCAACTTTTCATAATATAGACATACTCTATGAACAGACTATATAATGACATAGTTGAGACATGTACATACCTTGATGAGGAATGTGCGAAAGGTAAGCATAATTGAACGCCTTCTGGTTTGTTATCCAAACAAACTTATTATTAAACCTCATCCATTGCCATCAGGCAGAATAGGCGGTTATGGCATCTGCTCGAATTTAATGGCCCTTCCTTCATCTAACGATAACATCTCTCTTCCATTGATGCTCTCAAAATTAAGCCCACAAAGTCGACACAACTTTGTTGCAATTGAAACGCCGTTTAACATATTTGAGAGAGAGGCTATCTGGAATGATGGCAGTGAAAAGACATTGGCTGAACTGGCAGAGGTATGAAGGGAAATCGTAAGACATGAGAAGTTTAAGGAAATATCTATTGATGCACAGATATTTTGCTAGTTGAATGAAGTGTTCTTGTTTACCAATCGACCATTCCATACGATTGCTGGGGGAACGATTCGGACGCTTGCTACTAGCTCGAGCGAGGTTGAGCGTATGTAAATGGCGATAACTATTCAATAACCATAAAATGTTTCCTACCCTATAGTCTCTTTGCAATCGAATTCTCCTCTCGGTATTAATACCGTCTCCTTTTTAGCCGAAAAGCAAGTCATTGCGAAACTGGAAGGAAATTTTGAAAAATTAAGTCAACTAGAAACAGAACTAAACGAACAATGTGCGATACTTTTCTCTTTATCTCTCCATGCTAAATTTACGATTACACCCCTTTAGTTTGTGACTGACATTTAAGTTTCTATGTTACTAGTTCCAGTAGAGCAATCATTACAGTCGAAATTTATCTGGGCACAAGTGTTATCCGAGAACTTGGCGCGACTATCCAAGAATCATTTCGCAACTAAGCATTATCTTGAGAAAGATATCATGCCGGCTATCGAACGTGATCTGGCGGCGTTAGCAGATTATGTCTCGATCGAAGTATTTGATGAAGAAGAGGTTAGATTAAAAACCTGGATAGATGACTACCGAATGGTATTGACTGGATAAATAACCTGTTTTTTTGAGGTCATGTGGAGAACGAGAGTTATTAACCAAGGCTTCTTTTCGGTGAATCCCTTAGGAGACAAAAGACTTGATATCTAATATTATCGACTACGCTCGTATTGATCTACTACGCAAGAATCAAGACCTAGATTCCGTTCTTTCACTCGTATGTCCTTCACTCATTTCGGAAACAGATCATTTTCATTCCCCCTTGTCAGTGAAAGCTTTAAGAATAATACTAGCCAATGCACGCGTTGGATGCACTTTGGTTGGAATGCGAAGAGTGGAGTACGTCAACGACGCTATTGCTGCTTTGAAATTGAGTATAGATGATGAGATGACAGTAGAAAGGCTGAATGATATTTATCAATGTCCAGCATTGCAATAGTTTTGCTCAGTAAAAACATGAATTTTTATTAGGATGTCACCGTTAATCACATGAGTGTAAAAACTACCGAGACGCTTGTGTCACAACACGGATTGATGTAAAAGCGCGTCGCCAGCTCTGTCATTTCATTGATTATCTTTTTGTTGACATTAGTCATGACCGCTATACTAAAAAACCCGAATTACTTGAACTTTAAGATTCCTAGAGAAAAAGAACATGTCCAACCTGTACTGCAAAACGAGACTACCGCAAAAATTATACTCGATTGCCGTCACGTCGATTAGAGGTTAGGTACTGGCAATTGAAAACAGTAGTACCTTGGAACACAGTACAGTCAACCCTCCATATGCACACCCTCATTGCACGGTTTTGTTCACTTCCCACTATCTATATGCACGGTGATTTGTAATAACTTACACACGTGTATGCGTCATGTAAAATTGATGACAGCACTGAACCGCCAACAGTCAATGCCTAACTGCTATAAAGAGTTTAGAATTAGTTCATTCCCTTTTGCAACAACAAAAAGATTCTAAGGAGTTACTCAAACACGTTAATGCTCTTGATTATTACATTAAAGTTGATGAATGCAAAGAAACAAACAACGCAATTTTTTGTCAGCAACAGTAGAGTAAACGGGTATTTTAATTTTTGTCTGCATATAGCCAGTGGTACTTTTTATTTTCAAGGACTGTTAAAAAAGTTCCAGCCAGGATGTGATGCGTGTCTAATTTTTGTAAAGATTTATATAATATTTGTGATACGTTCGAAGGCACCAGGAAACTTGTGAAAAGTTCTATAATGAATTTTGTCAATTGAATCTCGATCAGCAAATTTCAGTGTTTTCGGAACGTAAAACTTCTGTAGCTTTACACGATTGTGGAATGTGATGAAGCAGAATCTTCCAGTGGAAACGAACTCGGCAAGAGCATGATTTTGCATCCGAATCAGCGGATGGCGATGAAAATACCAGGGTGAGATCAAGCGACTTTATTAAATAACTGACGTTGACCATTATATATGATAAAATTTTTTGCCATCCTGTTATATAAATCAAGTGTAAAAAATCCGAAAATAGATGATTTCGATGGGTCTGAAAATTCTTTACGGATAAGCTAAACGATGAGTTGATTGCTCAAGAGAACGACCACTTTGATGAAGATATTCAAAATGACAATGTAAGTTGTTTAATAGTGTTACGGTCGGGTGGTCTAGGGTTTGGGAGAGCAATTAATCTTTCGCGTAGGGGTGTTCTTCCGACCGGGGGATGTTACCAGATTAGCTGCCCTTATTACGGTAGTTGTTCAATTGAGACTGAATTCTAATCTACAAGTGACCTATTTTAATTAAGTTGCGCGCTTCTTAACTCCCTATCCGAGCTTCAATCACTCGTGATTCACACACAATAGAATAATAACAACAATTATTCTATTGTGGAATCGAAGGGGAGTAAATTCTATTTAATATTAAACAGGGATATCTTCGATTTGGTATTTCGACTAGTCGAGTTCCGTCACTTGTCTCAAACTAATTAAACAATTTTTGTTTCAATAA